GGCCCGGCCTCCCAGCCCTCCCTCTCGGCTTCCTCCCGCCGGCTGCCTGCGCCAGGGGGGCAAGTCCCGGGCGGGCTGCGGGCTGAGGGTGGCGCTGGCCGGGAGGGCGGGCGAGTGGGGCCGGGGGTGGAGCTGGGGGCTCAGGGTGTACCCGGGGGCTGGAGGCTGGACCGGGACCGCTCTAAATTTGCTGGAGAGGGGCCCCGTCGGCGGCGAAGTTGCTAGCTGGGGGCAGAGCCGGCCACGCGGTTGCAGGAGTAAGGCATCCCCCTCCCGTGGAGTATGTGAGACGAGGAGTCCGGCGTCCCTGCCATCCCCGTCGCCCTCCCCGCCTGCCCAGTCCCTGCTAGCTCCTCTCCTAGCCTATGCGTGTTCCCTCTCTTTCACTCCCTCTGCCTCCCGGCTGGCTCCCTCGGCAGTGCCGGGTCCCCACGGTCCCTGCCCTGACCCTTGCAGCCTCTGGCTTTCCCTGACCCCTGCTTGCTTGGCCACCACTCCCGTTCCCCTTTTCTTCCCTCGCTAGTTACCCCTCCCCGCTTCGTTAATTCCCGTGCAATTGCCTCTTTGAGACCTTTTTTTTTTTTTTTTTTTCCCTCTCCTTCCTTTTAGATTGGCCAACGGCTCCTTTCAACCCTGCCTCGTTGGTGGCCACTGGAGAAGCGCGGGGGGCTCCCCAGACAGCCGTGGGGACAAGTTAGAGCCAGCACTTTATCCCGAGCCTCGCGTGTAGCTTCCCCTCCCCTGCTCTAGGTGCCCCGGTGTCCGGAGGGGGGTGCGGGGTGTGCCCTCCTTACATGGTCCACGGCCCGCCCGGGCAGCCCTCCGGTCTGGTGTTCCATCTCGCTCTTGCTTCCTGTACCGTGGTCAAGTGGAACCACTTTGCATCATGTCCCGGTATAGCTACAAAAGCCTCCTGGACTGGCTCTATGGGGGTGTGGACCCCAGTTTTGCAGGCAATGGGGGCCCCGACTGTGCTGCCTTCCTGTCTTGGCAGCAGCGGCTGCTGGAAAGTGTGGTGGTCCTGACCCTGGCCCTGTTGGAGATCCTGGTGGCCCTTCGGCACATCCTGAGGCACACGGAGGACGGTAGGGGTGGTCGTGGCAGCCAGCCACAGCAGGTGACCCAGCGGCCAGAGGAAGGCAAGGAGAGCCTAAGCAAGAATCTGCTCTTAGTAGCCCTATGCCTGACCTTCGGGGTGGAGGTGGGCTTTAAGTTCGCCACCAAGACCGTCATCTACCTGCTCAACCCTTGTCACCTGGTCACCATGATGCATGTGAGTCTGTTGACTTTTTCCTGGGCAGCCTAAGTGATAAGAGTCATTTGTGTGCTCAGAACCCTGAAGTGCAGAACACTTCTCTGTGGGAAGTGGGACCCTTAAAAATGAGTTTCCAACCACAGGCTGTCTATGTACTAACTTCATACTTGGCTTTTTTCACTGTTGCACAAAGCGTCAGCCCTACAGTAGAGGTGAGGAACCTTGTGCTTGAACCCTAGGAATGACTGACACTCTGGGCCCCATGCCCCTCCCCTCCCAGCCCTGCTGGGGCCTGGCCTTTCATAAGCAGGAAGTCCAGCCCTAGCCAGGTGCCCCTTCTGAATCACATCTGTGGCTCATGGCCCAGCCCTCTTGCCTTTTGCTGGAGTTAAATTTCCCAGGGGCCTGGTGATACTTTTTCCAGAAGGTGGTCACACAAGCTTCCTTGTCTCTGCTGTGGTACTTTGGGGAAATGCTTTTAGGGGTTTCTCTTAATGACTCTTTCATTTGGGACTTTATGCTCTTTTGGTGAGGTCTGCCTTTGAGTTGTGGGATGCTTGAGCAGCCTGAAGCTACTCAACCCCCAGCTGACTTGCAAACTTTGGGTTGGTGATCTTACCTGCAGTGAGAGGGTATTTACTTTTTTCGAACCTCTCTGTCTTGCCACTTTCATTCTTTCCTGTATGGTTAGGCTCCAAGGGTGCTCAGAGAGCCATTTCTTTACTGTTCTGACCTCTACCCATTAGCAGTGCTAAGGAAAACCCAATGGCTTAGAAAGGGGAAATTGCTAGATATATACAAATAATCTGGATGAGGACCAAGAGTGAGACTGCCTTTCTTGGCTCAGCCTGTCCATGGATGTTCTAATGCTATAAATTCATGGAGGAGGAGGAGAGAAGGGAGAAGGGGAAAGCAATGAGGCCTCTTTAGATTCCAGGCTGTGGAAAACTTGTTGTGTTTTACTAGGGGTAGTAGTTTTGAAACCTGTCATTAGCATCTTTATTGCTTTTATATTTGTAGAAGGTTATTCTCAGGAGACTTGTGACAACCCTGTGTAGGGCAGGAGGTTGAGATTATTATCTCCATTTTACAGTCCTGGCAGGGTTCAGGGATAGAGGTCACTTGCCTCCAGCAAAAAGATGAATTAGCATCAGGGATGGAAAGCAAACCCACTCTCCTTTGGAGTTGCAAGCTGTCAGTCCTGGGGAGTGGCAGAGGATGTTGAGGCAGTCCTGTGGGACTTTGCCATATACTCTTGGCTTAGATACTTGCTACCTCTATTTTCCTAGAAATTCATTGGATTACCTATTCTTGGCCTCAGTTTCCCTATCTATAAAATGTAGAGAATGACCTTGGCCCCTCCCTGTCTTGCAGATGTGGTAAAGGACTGTGGATAGCCCTGGAATAAGGAGGATGTTATAGATTGGGTGACTAACAGCATGGAAAGGAGTTGGGGTGGGCACCCTTTTTGGAGAGGATTTCTTGGGAAGGGATACCATTCACAGGAAGTCCAGGGTTGTCTTAGATATACCTTGTATTTAAATTTGAGTCTTTCTTTCTTCCCTTTTTTTCTTTTTCCCTTCCTTCCTCCCTTCTTCCCTCCCTCCCTTCTTCCCTCCCTCCCTTCTTCCCTCCCTATCTCTCTCAATATCTCTCTCTCAATCTCTCTCTCTCTCTCTCTCTCTCTCTCTCTCTCTCTCTCTCTTTCCTTCCTTCCTTCCTTCCTTCCTTCCTTCCTTCCTTCCTTCCTTCTTTCTATGGGTTTTTTGTTAGTGAGAGGAAACAACACATCTGAGCCGGTGTTGTGTGTGACTGTGGACAGGAGTGCTTTTTTAGAATGGCAGGTGGTGAGGGTCAGAGGGTGCCTCTCCTACAAAGGAGTCTTGAGGCCTCTGTCAACTATGTGTCTAGAAGGTCAATAACGGGCTGAATTCAGCCTCACTGGGCCTGCTGCTGGTATGATGACGTCAAACCTGGCAGTACCATGATTCTTAAAGGAAAGATTTTAGAGGCTTTTAGAAGACTCAGGAGTCCTATTTCTGGAATTAATTAGTTGTACATCTTTGGGAAAAGTACTTTCTGGGCCTCAGTTTCCCCACCTGTGAGATAAAGCAGAGTTGTCCTCCAATCTCTTGACATCTATTCAGTGAGTCTTTGTTCTGTAATCAACGGCGATATAACAGAAAGCTACTTTGAAAGGCTTTTGACCTTGTGCAGAAAACGGAAACTGGTTCTCTTCTCTGTGGAGGTCAGGTAGCCAATCCACCTTTAGCATTTCCTCCATATGACTCTCAGTAAAGTTTAGCTGTCTAAGCCACCCTTCGGGTCATGTGTAGAAATTATGGCATTTGAGGGACACATAGATATTTGGAGGACTATGGGCTGATTTCTTGTCCCCTGTGCTTTTCCTTAGCTTTTGCTCTGAAGCTATAGGATGAGGAAAAAAAAATCATGCTGATAAATTCTTGAGCTTCACTGGGGATTATACTTCTTTGTCCTGTATTCCTGGGTCACTGCTTTGTAACCTACGAGGAGACTTAGGTTTTGATGCTTCTGATTTTCCCATGTCCTCTGTGTGACTTTTCTGTAGAAGCAGGACTATATAGATTTTTAAAAGTTAATCTGCATCTGTAACAATATTAGCAGCAGACAATTGGAACCAATTTTCAGGCTCGATTGTAAAAATGACTAATGATAGTATGAAGGGTTACTAATACCTTACATTTATCTAGCGCTTTACTGTTCATAAGGCACTTTCATATGCATTATCTTATTTAAGGTTATGATAGATCAGCCTAGGCCTGGAGAAAGAGATGTTAAAATGCTTCCTGTGATTGTGTCTGTTGCAAAAGAGAGAATTATGTATCAGGAAATGCTTTTGGAAGTGAATTAGCTGAATTAGGCTATTATGTAGCAGTAAAATCTGGAGATTAGAAGTCCTGACAAAGAAAGGGAGATGTTGGCTGAAGTGAAAAAGAGTTTCATGGTGGGCATGTGTGATGTTTAATGCTGTAGCTCAACTGTGTGACTCAGTTTTGGCTTTGTAGGAAGTCTTTCTCTGCTAGAGTCAGTGTGTGTAACAAAGGCCATGTAGCTCTTAGGTCAGGAAGTAGAGGAGTTGGAGGGAAATTGGTACCTTTTTCTAGCTCCTGTTTTTCAGTCTGCAAACCATTCTTTTGCAAAGCCTTGTTCCCCTCCTCATAGCCATGCTGCCTTTGGGTGACTGCCAACTGTAGTAGCATAAAGAAGGGCAGAACTAAGGTCTGAATTCTGTCCCTGATTAATATCCCTGCTGTTGAGTTTCTTTCTGGTCTCATGTGATTTCTCAGAGGTTCAAGGATGGCAGACTGATAGTGGTTTGTAGGATTGCAGTAGTACCAGCTCACAGCTCAAAGTTAGCACAGCACTATTAAACACTGTTAAATATCAGGGGTGTCTGCCAACTACACCAATAAGGATTTCTTCAAGCATGGCTCCTCAATCCCCTTTTGCCCATGATTTTGGCAGTATGTATTATGGAGACTAAACCTACTGAACCATTGGGCTGTCAACCAAAAATCTCCCAGTAAGTTAGTGGCGCAGGTGGCTTTAAATCTGAGCTGCCACAGTGGGAATCTATGATTGTTAAGAAGGGATTCTTGTAGCTGTTTAAGTCTGGACAAAAAAAATCTACATTTCTCAGCAGAAAAGTTAAAATGCCAGACAAGCTATATGTAACAGTGAATGCCTATAATTTTAACCCAAGAGGTTTAGGCAAGTTCAAGGCCAGTCTGGGCTACATAATGAAGCTCAGTATCAAATCAAAGTGAAACAAAAACAGTTTGGCTTGTTATATGCATAAAGAATAGTAATATAGCACTAGCTTTACAGCTCGCTCAACATTGTAAGGAACCTTAACTTACTGTCCCATTGTCTTCCTTGAGTCTTGTTATGTTGTCTTTATCTTAAGAACTTAATGAAAATCTCTCCTTTTCTATGCTTTGTTTAATTGTTACATTCCTCTTGGTACTCTCTCTGTGCTAACATCTTTTGCTTAGGCACTGAATGTAACTGGGCACAACACATGCCATTTAACCTTTGATGCCTATACACATAAAGTAGACTGTCTTGAGGCTGCATCTTTAGCCAATAATAGTTGGTCATGTTGACCCTTAGCTTCAAGCCAATAGTTTATTATTTTTTAAAAATTTTGGCCAGTAATAGTGAATAGTGGTCCTTCTCTTTTTGGTAAATTAATTTTGTGTGTGTGTGTGTGTGTGTGTATGTATGTGTATGTATGCGTATGCCACAGTACATATGCAGAGGTCAGAGGAGAAATTTTGGGAGTTGGTTTTCGCAAAACCTTCCACTGTGTGTCCTGGTGTTTGAACTGGGCTTGTCAGGCTTTTACCTCATAAGCCATTTCACCAGCCCAGTCTCTTCTTTTTAGAGTTGTGTTTGTTATTTAATTTTGTGTCTTTTTTAAATATATGACAAATTTGATATCCCCCAAATAGCGCTTACCAGCTTTGGGTTTACTAAAGTTTAATTTTCTTCTTCCCTTATTATTAAAAGTGTGGCATGGCACTATATAGAGGAATGCTGAGCTCTGGACTGGAAATGTAGCTCAGTTGCAAGAGTACTTGCCTAACTTTCACGAAACCCTGAGTGAGTTTGATCCTCGGCACAGGATAAATTAGACATGGTGGCACATTCCCATAATCCCAGCACAGGGGTGGTGGAGACATGAGGTGACAGAGGTTCAAGGTTATCCTCAGATATATAGCAAGATTGAGGTCATCCTGAGATACATGAAACCTGCCTTAAAACAACAAAAAATGTAGCAGACATGGTGGCACACGCCTTTTTAGTTCCAACACTCCAGGGCAGAGGCAGGTGGATCTGTGGGAATTTGTAGCTAGCCTTAGCCTGGTCTGCATAGCAAGTGGGAGGCCAGCAGGGCAACATAATGGAACCCTATCTGAAGAACAACAACAGCAAAAAACAACAACAAAAGAAGAAACAAAACCAAAAAAAAA